ACTTCACTCCCACACGGTGACTGAGCTGTTTGTGGGAGAACATGGCACTGCAGCGTGTTTGATAACTTTTACCAGCAAAACACACACACACACACTACACAAACACAACCTTATCAGTGTTTACGCACACTTTCTGTTGGAGCTCATGTATGCACCACATGGCTGTTCAAACACCAATGTAGCAGCTGGTTAATAACAGTGTTTGCAGAATGACTAATTGTTGCATCTGTATGTTTTAGTGTGAAAAGCTGTGTGAGCAGTGACGTTTGCTGCCCTGATTTTCTCCAAGTGAGCTAGTTTTCATATAAAAATCCAATTGTTTATTTCATGCAGCAAAAACATTTAGAAAAACTAAATAACTTCTGGAAGAATTTAAAAAAAATTTTAACTTCTGTTTACATCTTTGAATTGGTCTAAAAAACAATTAAATGAAAGCAAATGTTAGTGTTTGCATCAACTCTGTGCTGCATTAAACATCCAACATAAAACAATCCACTAGAGGACTCTCTGCACCACTTTCTGTCTTAAATTTCATGAAAACAACTAGAAGCAGATGTGCTGGGAGGCCTACAGCAGATCCTGGAGAGGGCGGGCTTGTCAAGAGTCCTTAAACACACCATTATCTTTTTGTTCTCTGAATATTTAACAATTACATTTATATCACCCAAAGAACACGAATGACATTCTGCCCAAACTAAGAATCAACAAATCTTCCTTTCTTTTCAGAACTATTGAGGATTTGATCAAAACACCTGTAATAGCAGAGCAAACCATAAGCAGAGCGTTAACAAAGAAATTATGTTATAACGTGAACAAGCACAAGCTGTAAAACAGTTTAATGGCTGACTGTGGCCCCTGTGGCAGAACAGAGTTTGGCTCAGGCAGCTCCAGCGTGTGCGGCATGCTCACTACTCTTTGTTCTAACCAGAGCATATGCCACAAGCTCTCGCTGCTTTTCCTCAACAGCTGCTAAGCCCATTAAATCTGCAGCCGGCCACCGGAGAGGAGGCTCAACACAGTCATGCACCATTCTATCATAACCCCAGGGGCTGCCACAGAAAAATGTTCAACATGAAAACAGATCACCAGGATGAGCGGCGTGCTTCCTGCAAAACGTGAACCTGAACTATCAACCAACTCGTCAAATTAGTTCTGATTATTGCTGTCGAGTCTTTTGATTTGCATCAAACGCTGCTCGCCTGCAACGCCAGGTGCCATAAAGAAAATGCAGTCGGTCTGCAAGGTGCCTTTAAAGGAGAGCCTGTGAGCAGTGTGGTAATAATCCAACATCCATTCTGCATCATTACATGAACCAACACTCTGGCTGTTTGCTCTGCAGTGCAGCTTTGTGCCTCCGGCTTTGAAGCTCAATGGTTCCCAGTGCTTCTATTTGCTGTGCAGCAGGAAAACACAGCACTGTTCATTTTCCAGGCTTCACATCACCTCATTAAACTGACCTGTCCCTCTGCATGCTATTACAAGCAGCTCTTTGAGAACTTCTCTTTAAAAAAGAAGTCATCTATAGTTTACCTCCTTTATTTTGTCTCCATCTGGCTTGTTTTCAGGACCATTCTAATCCAAATCACTGAACACTTCCTGGATCGTGTTATGATCATATATTTAGCTGCATAAATGCTGTCCCCCAGCTGCATTAAAATAGTGTTTAGGTCTGGATTTATGCATTAAACCACCCAATCACTAATGTAAGCTGCTAACAACATAAATCCTAAATATTACTATGCTACTTCCATTTAAATGCTAAACAATCAACATCTGTTGGACTTAAGCAACTATTAAGACCACAAGCAATTCACAGAGGGGAAATTAAAGTCTGAAATTTAAAATATTTAGAGGATTACAAGTATCCCAAACCAGCTGTGATTTTTGCAGCCTTTATGAAATGCTTCTTTTTTCATTTTAATTAATTAATTTTTTTGTTTTTCCATTTCAAGCAGAGCATGAAAAGCATTAGTAGCATGGATATGTAACGTCCAGCAACGGTCAGTTTTAGGTACAGTTTGACCTTTCAACATCTATTCAACATCTGGTCAGACAGGAGACACATGTGTTCTCTTTAAATGAGCCTGCCTTCATACCAGCTGGAGCTCACAGACTGCAGCTCTGACAACCGATAACGACATGTCAACAATAACTTTCTTCCCCAAGGCCTCCACATAAGGAACACTCCAGCTCGGATCAGTTGCTAAATTCAAGAATGATTTCCTAAATCAATATGAACTTTTTCCATGACTTATAATATAATCATTAAATAAACGTTTGTTTATTGCTGCTTATAATAATTATATTATAATGAAATGCTTCATTAATCTGTGCTCAATTATTGAAGTTTGAAATGAATGTTATGTCTACAATGACTGCAATGTGGTTCCGCAGGTTTATATGGCAAAGGTCATAACATTTGCACTTGCACCATAACAAGTAAGGTTACGTTAAACTCTGACACATAAATAGTCTTTTACCCAGTCAGAACATCCGGTCAAAGAAGGCGTGTTTCTGAGTTGTCTTGGTAACATCTCTCAAGCCTGTCGGCCTTTGATTGGCTGTGCAGATCATAACATCTAAACCTTAAAACTGGGTCACTCTGGGTGATTCAGCAGTTCTAGAGAAAGTTTTAGACCGACCATCTGAAGCACACCTCTTTAACCATCAGAGATTTTGACACATTGTCAAAACCTTTTTGCACCTGCAAAGCTGATAAGCAACAGCTCCTGCAAACGAGCTGATACTGCTTAGGCTCCTTAAGAGTCCACCAGACGCGTGGTTCCATCCTCTGTTGTGACCTAGAGACAACTCTAAGACCGGTTTTGTGGGGGCCGCAGTTTCTTCTACGGACCTCGGCACCTGGAAGTCCGAGGACTTTGACATTCCGGATCTATCACGAGGGTCTCCGAGAGCGGGTGAAGTAGACATGACAGATAGCGTCTGATGTGTTTTGATAACAACCAACTTCACAGCTTAACGCAAACCAAATTCTTTTACATCCAGAACTCATCTTTCCTAGATATGAAAGTTCTGACTAACACCGCATTCACACATAGGTTTTATACAGCACATTTAGTTCCATCCACTCACAGTAAATGCGTAGTTAACTAGTCATGTTTTAATTGTTTGCAAAATAATTTCTTACTTTTATAAACCTGACTCTTTTCTGAATCAAAACGAAGTGTGTACAATTACTTAATAAAGCAAAAATCCTAGAATCTTCTGATAAAGACCAAGCAGGGTGGATATTTAATACTTAAATAGAATATCACAGTCTATTGGTCATAAGTAGAGATATATACAGTGGTGTGAAAAACTGTTTGCCCCCTTCCTGATTTCTTATTCTTATTTGTCACACAAAATGTTTCTGAACATCAAACACATTTAACCATTAGTCATAGATAACACAAGTAAACACAAAATTCAGTTTTGAAATGATGGTTTTTATTATTTAGGGAGAGAATAAAATCCAAACCTACATTGCCCTGTGTGAGAAAGTAATTGCCCCCCTTGTTCAAAATTGCCCAACTGTGGTGTTTCACACCTGAGTTCAATTTCTGTCGCCACCCCCAGGCCTGATTACTGCCACACCTGTTTCAGTCAAGAAATCACTTAAATATGAGCTGCCTGACACAGAGAAGTAGACCAAAAGCTCCTCAATAGCTAGACATCATGCCAAGATCCAAAGAAATTCAAGAACAAATGAGAACAAAAGTACTTGAGATCTATCAGTCTGGTAAAGGTTATAACGCCATTTCTAAAGCTTTGGGACTCCAGCGAACCACAGTGAGAGCCATTATCCACAAATGGCAACAACATGGAACAGTGGTGAACCTTCCCAGGAGTGGGCGGGTGACCAAAATTACCCCAAGAGTGCAGACACAACTCATCCGAGAGGTCACAAAAGACCCCAGGACAACTTCCAAAGAACTGCAGGCCTCACTTGCCTCAATTAAGGTCAGTGTTCACGACTCCACCATAAGAAAGAGACTGGGCAAAAATGGCCTGCATGGCAGATTTCCAAGACACAAACCACTGTTAAGCAAAAAGAACATTAGGGCTCATCTCAAATTTGCTAAGATACATCTCAATGATTGCCAAGACTTTTGGGGAAATACCTTGTGGACTGATGAGACAAAAGTTGAACTTTTTGGAAGTCAAATGTCCCGTTACATCTGGCGTAGAAGTAACGCAGCATTTCAGACAAAGAACATCATACCAACAGTAAAATATGGTGGTGGTAGTGTGATGGTCTGGGGTTGTTTTGCTGCTTCAGGAACTGGAAGACTTGCTGTGATAAATGGAACCATGAATTCTACTGTCTACCAAAACATCCTGAAGGAGAATGTCCGGCCATCTGTTCGTCAACTAAAGCTGAAGCGATCTTGGGTGCTGCAGCAGAACAATGACCCAAAACACACCAGCAAATCCACCTCTGAATGGCTGAAGAACAACAAAATGAAGACTTTGGAGTGGCCTAGTCAAAGTCCTGACCTGGATCCTATTGAGATGCTATGGCATGACCTTAAAAAGGCGGTTCGTGCTACAAAACCCTCAAATAAAGCTGAATTATAACAATTCTGCAAAGATGAGTGGGCCAAAATTCCTCCAGAGCGCTGTAAAAGACTCGTAGCAAGTTATCACAAACGCTTGATTGCAGTTATTGCTGCTAAGGGAGGCCCAACCAGTTATTAGGTTCAGGGGGCAATTACTTTTTCACACAGGGCAATGTAGGTTTGGATTTTGTTCTCTCCCTAAATAATAGAAACCATCATTTCAAAACTGCATTTTGTGTTTACTTGTGTTATCTGTGACTAATGGTTAAATGTGTTTGATGATCAGTAAACATTTTGTGTGACAAACATGCAAAAGAATAAGAAATCGGGAAGGGGGCAAATAGTTTTTCACACCACTGTATATCTTGAGCTCAATTTGCAACGCTACATTTATGTCCACTGGCTTTAAGCCGTTTTAGCCCACAGCCTGATTATCTTGTGAAATGGAGCAGAAAACACACGGTGTGGACGAAGCAAAAGACCGATAGAAAGCAGGCCTTGGTGTAAAAAATGTGAGATGGTCTATTGCTACTGAATCTTCCCATAGACGATGTTTTCGTCCAAGATAAATCGTACTCAGGAGCAGGGGGAAATAATGGGCTCCTTGCTTTGATAACCGTAGGGCTGCAGAGAGCGGCGTGCATTTAAACATCTTCTTTTACCATCTCCTTGGTGGTGCTTGTCCTGGAAAACTACCTTCACTCGCCTGCAGGTGAGTTTATCTCCCAGCAGCCTCCGGTGGCGGGTCACTTTCTGTCTATGAAGTTGCACTGATGATTAATTACACAGCAGAGGTGAGGGTGGGGGAGAAAACAAAGGCCGATCCATCTGCGTCAGGGCAAGTGGACAGCCCCGTGACGCAGCGGGCGAGAGCTCTGGCAATGCCATCTATCACGGAACGGCCACTGCACAAACACAAGGTCAGGCTGCTGCCTGCCTCCAAGATGGCCCTGGTTGCACCTCAAAACCCCTGTTAGACCCTCGGACCATCTTTTCCTTTCTGGTTACATGCCTGGGAAACAACAGGATGAGAGGGGGAGCAGTCGCCTCACAGCTGGGGAGACTAACTCTGGTCTGGTAGTCTCAGTCTAGACCATGTGTGCGAACCAGGACAGGGTAAGAGCTGAAGCTGGATTTTCTGCATGAGAGGCCATTAGTTAATGATGGTGGCGAGTCGTTTCTGCTTGCTGACTTACCCCGGGTTTCCACGGGAGCCGTCAGCAGCACGTTACTGCAGCAGCACGTCTAGCTCATAGACTGTACATACTACAGCTGCTGCTTGGCCCTTCCCACGAGACGCGACGCAGCAGAGGAGCAGCTGTCACCGACAGGGCACGAAGTCACACGAGTGACTTCGTCAGTAAACACAACAACAAGCAGGAGAAAACTACAACATGGCTCCAAAATGTTTGTGTTTTTATATTCTGTCCGTTTTATAATCGCCAATACGGACCTGAAAAACAAAGGAGACCGCTAGCTAGGTGATAACTTCTCACGGGGCCGCACAGTTAGTAACCTTTTTTAAAGTAAAGCGACCGGAAGGCAGTACGTTCTTTATTCTGAAAATCTCGGGAGCTTCTCTCCATTTCCGCGTCCGATTTCCTGTCTTTCCTTCCCCAAAAATGTCGAACTTGACCCGTTTCAGAGGCGTCGCGCGTAGGAAATAGAACCGGCGCGTAAAGGCCGCGACATGCTGCTCCTGAGACGCGGCCGACTCGCGCTGCTGACGGCTGCTGACGGCTCCTGTGGAAAAGGTTCTGTTGACCACAGCCGTTCCTATCAGCAGCTATGACGTGCTGCTGCAGTAACGTGCTGCTGATGGCTGCTGTGGAAAGCCGGGGTTATTCCTGCAGAGTCCTTGGGGAGGACAGCGTCCCATCCACCCAGCAGACTCAGTCCTGGGCCTCACTAAATCTGGTTTCCTTCTTTTCTCTAGATCTTCCAGCTTTTCTCCTGCCTCATTGGCTGTCACACAAGCTGGTTTGGTTGGTTCCTGCCAACAAAACGGACCTTCTCATTCCACCAGGTTTCTGCTGATGAACGACTGGAGCTTGTTGGCCATCGACCAGGTCTACAGCCCATTTAGACACAAGAAAAAGACTCCACACAGAAGACAACATATTCTGATTTCTGCTGAAACAAGGAGAGCAAACTTAACTTATGCATGAGTCGAAAGTTGAAGCTGCAAATATTTTTGTCACATCTGTGCTCCAAACATTTCTCTGGGTTGTATTGCACTTAGCACCATGAGACATTTCCACATCTGATTTAACATTTGCTCAGCTGTGAGCATCTCGCTCCGTTTCTTTGTTGGATCAATATAAAGGATGAAAGTAGCACAAAGTGTATATTTAGTGTGCAGCATGACTTTTTTACCACGTTGCAGCTCCAAACACGTGTAGCGTACAGTCATAGTGTTGAATTCAGTTTAAAAAGCAAAAGGACATTATTCAGAAATAAATGGAGTGAAGAAGTGCAAACATGACTTTCTAATTTAATCCTGTACAAAAATAATAATTTTGTCATTTTTTTTACTAAATATAATTAAAATTCCACCCGTGGTGATGAGGTCACTTCTGGTTAAGGTCTTAAAAGATTTTTGACCCAAGGAACAATGATTTTTTGAGAATTGGGGTGTGGCTAGGCCCAAATTCTTCTACCTGATTGGTCAGAAACATCTGACATTTTGATTTGAATACAAAATGTTGCTGTCAGTGTTGTTTAAAATCTTTAATACATTAGAAATATGACGAAATTTATAGCAAACCAGAAGATCTACTGCTAGCTAGCTCAACCGTTAACTCTGCTGAAAACAGGGGTGTGTCCGGAGAGGGGACTGGGGGGGCAAGACAGTAAAACATCTAGAACATTTATTCTATAGAAACATTTAATCTAAAACAAATAAACAATAAAATATCAAAAGTAAGATGACATTTGGAAGTTTATTACTTTTTAACATTTTAGTACTTTCAGCAATAAACTGAGCTTGGTTCATGCTCAAACACTTTTGAAATTCTGATAATGAGACTATTGGGTTCAAACAAAACAGCAAACCAGGACAGATATTTCATTTCTTGGTGATGTTGAGGCTATTTAATTTTTTTCATTGATATTAGTGTTTAAAGCTCACCTCTTATAGTTGAAAAATATTTAAATAATTACTCATTAACAAAAACTCAAAATACACTAAAATACTAGCTTGGAAATGACATCTACTTCATCCGAAGTGCGCCATCCTCTCTTTTCTAATTCAGAGATAGTCCCAATTTTATTATAATAAATGTGTGCATTTAGTTGTAGAAATAGATCATTTTTTATAAAAGTGCACCATTGGTTTTGTTCTTGGACTTTATTTTTGGTTCATAGTAGCCAGTTAGATTAGGATTAATGCTTAGTAATTTTGTAAAAACAATTGCTTTTTTTTAAAGTTATGAGACCCGAGATACATGCGCCACCCTTGTCCAAATTTGTGCCCCTATCTGGCCATCCCAAATGTTTTGTAGATACGCCACTGGCTGGAAATAACTGTAGAAATCTAGAAATGGCCTTATGGTATTTAAATGATCATAGAATAGTATTTATACAAAGCTTTTACGATTACAGAAGAAATCTACTTTACTTTATTTATGTCGTGCATAATTAATGAGTTTGAATTTATTAGAACAAACTTCCTGTTTGTATTTGAAACACAGATTAAATACAGCAGATTGTAGGGCTGAAATAATTTGTTTGCAAACGCTTCACCAAAACAAATCTGCTTTTGGCTTGGCCAAGGTAATGAAACCCACATGACTGCACATTAAAGGGGTTAGGGTTAGCCACATGGCAGGCTGTTTCTGAGCTCCTCTGTCCATTAAGAGTAGGGGAAGTAAATCAGATCCTAGCCTGAAGTCTTATCCCCCCCTAAAAAATATTTATGACAGAGAGCTGCCAGAAGAGACAGTTTCCCTCCACTGTCCTGGTATTTTGAGATGACGGCAGAGGATTTTTGCAGGCCCTTATTTTTCCAGATTTTCCACTGGGTGAGTCGTAAATTGAAGTGGCGTGCAGTGAGGGAGCTGAAATGTCAGGGCTCTGTGACTCTGCAGTATGTATGAGGACAGTTGGAGGGACAACACCCTGGCCTGACTGGGCTGCAGTAGAGTTAAAGCTAACGTTAAGTGTGTGCCAGCTGCATGCTTTATGACAACACATTAAAGAGGAGCCTGGAAGTCTGGTGTCTGAGCTTTGTATTGTCTCGGCCCTGCCAACAAGGACCCAAACCTGGCACGCTTTATTAAACAGAGTTCCTCTGACTTCAGGCTGCTCCCTCGGAATAAAGCTCAGGACAATAGAAGCAGAAGGGGACAGGGTGTGTGAGGTTTGTGGTGTGCAGCTCCAGATACCTCCTGACGTTTATCCTAGTGTGTGTGTGTGTGTGTGCGCGCGCGCTTTGAGAGTGTCAGTGGCTGCATGGAGCTGATCTGCTAGTGTGGACAAGAGGGAATCTGGATTGGCTATGAGAGGAATGTGAGAGACGGATATCATTAGAGACAGAGGAGCCTCAAACACAGCAAGAAGCTACACACACACACACACACACACACACACACACACACACACACACACATAGACCTAAGACGGTCAAACTGACAGCAGATCCAGATAATTTCCTCAGGATTTCATAATTAAAGTCTTTATTTAAAATATTTTACTGTTATTTTTGTACATATGACGCCAGGATAAAACTTCCCCAGCAATAATAAAGTATCAGATATGATCATCACAGACCTATTAAATGGTTTAAGGTGTTTTATTTTGAAATGCAGTCAGATGTTTACATCTGGTTTCCTTCTGATTCTCACATTTACCCTGTTAGACACTTATTCTCCTCACCGTATAAACATGCAGCTTTTCCCATCAAAGCGAGCTACTTATTTTTTTACTTATTTCTGATGTGTTTTACAATTGTGTACTGTCAATAAAAACATGCTCATTATACTAAATAAGAGTGAAAAACCATGTGTCTGGTCCATTTTGATTATGCACCCATCAGTAAATAAATGAAGTGTGTGAGAAACTGATTCAGGATTAAATCAAACAGCTGCTGTCCACATGTGGCTCAGATGGATTATATTTACAGGCTGAGGAGGATTTATCCAGATTAAACGTTTGGTGATCAAAGCAGGTGAAGAACACAAACTACAAGCTGCAGCTTTCCATAAACAGAAAAGATCTTTTCCAAAATATAAAATACTTTATGCTGATAGTTTTCATTAATTCCTTTCATGTTTTTTTTCTTGTAATTTTAGACTTGATTGAGTGATGAGAAGAAGAGCTAATCAGAGCAGGATGAGGTAAACTCAGAGATCTGATAGACGCGTGTCTCTTCTGATGGACTCACTTTCCCTCCCAGTCCCAGTTATGATTCCAGTGATTTTACAGCAAAAATGTCGACCTTTCCTTCAAAATCAAAGGCTGTTTGACTCATAAATATTCAGAACGCTAAAATGCTGAGATGAGTGTGTTTTAAATAAACTGCATGCATGCATATTAGTCTCATTTGCATTTTTGAGGCGTTTAATTATCCTTAATCACTGACGTCCAATCCCAACAGCTGTGCTCAATTTATGGAGTTGAGATTTTACATAAATATAGGCTGCTTGTTTTATAAATGACAGGATTTTGGTCTGGAAGCGAATAAAAGAGGCAATAAAACCAACTAACAGCACTGATGGTAAAAAAATAAAATAAAATAAAAAGATAATCAGACATCAAAAACTGGGGATCTCTGAAGCGTAACTAAAGACTAGCAGCAGCTGCAGATTTGCTTTTTTATTTGAACGCAGCTTATTTTTAGATGATCGGGAACTTGTTTGGCAACAAGGCTGCAGCACAGCAGCGTGGAGGCTCCTCTCTGCCACAGAGAGCATCATGCTCTGCAAGCAGGCAGGCCCAGTGGGGGGAAAGAAAGAGGAAGATGGAGGAGACGAGGAGGCTCCATGTCTGGGACCTGCTGCAAAAAACACAATAACAGCACAAGACATATTGCTATTCAGACAGAGCTTTTTTTTAAGGGCAGGCATCCCCGTGTGGCTGCCTGAGGGGTACACACAGCATTATGAGAAGGATTTGAGCTGACACAAGTCACAGTCACTCCATCGCTGGTGTGAAGGAGGGGAGGGGGGATGAATTATTCAACCAGCTAGCTTTTCTCAGCTCTGATGTCGTCTTGTTTTATGAGGAGGTGAAGCAAACAACAATAGCGAGCTGCGCCTCCCCGCACGGCTGCCACCGTCGCACAACATCCACAACCTGAGAGGAACCTCGGTTTTCCTGAGGACAGGGCATCATTTCAGAGAGCTGCAAGTGGAATAATGGCTCCCTCTCAAAATGACAGCCATCGTTGAGGCACAGCATCACAGATTGGTCTATCACTCCCCCACGCGCAAGACGAAATGACAGCCCTGCCCCGCTGATAGCAAGGCATCTCAGCCTGAGTGGGTGTTCTGTGTGGCTTAGCCCGGCTTTGATGTTTCAGAGGAATATTCAGCCTGGGAGACTCGCTACCTGCTGCTGGGATGAGGCCTTGTGAAGCTGAGAAAATAGAAGGCTGAAGAAAAAACAAGAATCTGTTCTCTAAAAAAATATAATTTTTGTTTCCCCAAACGCTTCAATTGAGTTAATCGAACTACTGTAGGTAATTCAGTGTCTGAGTGCACACTTAACTCCCTCTAAAACTGGATTATAGCAGATTATTAAACTACAAAAAGAGACATAATCCGTGGTGTAACTTATTTATTTTAATTCCACAAGTTTTTCAAAAAAATTACAAAATACTCAAATGGAGAGAACACAGGACTCACAATTTTTCTTATTATTTCTACTTTTTGTTTACATTGTGTCATCCCCATGGCGACTACTCGTATATACAATAAGCTTCAAGATACCAGTATATATATAAATCTTAGCAGTCAGAATTTCCATTCTGCTATTGCCGCTTTGAAACAAGAAGCTAAACCATTGACAACACTTAACATCAAGGGTTCCAGAGACACAAAAAGGGGAATAAAAGGCGAGGAATTTGTCGGGAAATGAGGCAAAAAGGATGACGATGAAGAAGAGACAAAGTGACGGGCTGTCGTCGGCACTTCCAATAAAGTTTTAAATGTTTTTAGATTCAGATTATTTCTTCAACTGGTTGAAAGTGGAAATATAAGAAAAGCCACAGTTTTTTAAAGTGTCCATGACAGACAAACAGTCTTAGTGCACGGAGCAAACACAGAACTTGCATCATGGCTGCAGCATTGGAAATAACAAAATAACAATAATAATAAAAAGTGGGCTTGTGCACTGGTATGACACGCTACATGGAACAGTCGGCAGCACACAAATACACCACTGTGTGTGTCCTAAAGGAATCAAGGCGACTGGGCAGAGCGACACACTGGTTACGCGTCCCGCCGCCCCTCCTGGTGGTCTCGAGTCACAGTGAACATCATTACCGTTGAGCTGAAGCACGACTCAGCCCTGAAACTAAACACCGGTGACTGGACCAGACAAGGGAAAGTGACATAAACATGCAAATGCTAAAAACATCAAAGTCCTGTTTCTTATGGTGAAAAATAATCAATTTAAAACGGACCAAAGCAACTAATTCTTCCTAAAATGTTCAGTTTAAAAAAAAAGAGGAGGAACTCCTTAAATAAAACTAAAAGGATAAAAACTGGTCGAGCTCGAGGATGCTCTTTCAGTGCAAAGTTTTTCTTTTCTCAATCTGCAGCCTCAGTGCACGCTCCACTGAAGCATCAGTGACTTCAAGTGTTTTAAATCAGTAACTGAACGGGGCGAGTCGACACATTCTGACAACATGCTGTGTGTCACAGGGTGAAGAATGGATGTGGAGGGCGTCACGGGGTGGGGGGTTTACATACAGTACGTATGTGGGACTAAATCTAACACAGTGATGTCACAACTGAAGCGCAACTCTCAGAAACTGCTCGCATAATGCCATGGCGCTCCCCTCTGAAACAAGGGATAATGCTTCAAAACAATTATACTGGAGGCTGAAACGACTTGGAGTCCACACCTAGTAATAATAATAATTATAATAATAATTATATGTTTATATATACTATTTACAGACTCGAAAAACGCCATGCTGTAGCTTTTTTAAAATTATGAAAAAACCTCCAACAATGTATTAAAATAAATGTTGAATTTAAGATAGCACTTGTTATTTTCCATAAATGGTCAGACAGTTTTTTTTGTCCTTTTTTCTTCTTCTTAATAAGCACAGTGTCTTGTTCTAGCACCTACAAAAAATGTCAGGGAAGCTTGTCATGCAGGAGTCTCGAGGATGTTGTCACTACTGGTTAGACGCCAAACAAAGTCAATGTCTTGAAAAATAATCGTTAAAATAAAAAAGGTAAAAGGTCCTTGAAAGGAACAAAAAACTAAAGATGTGAAATTCTCAGAAGATCCACTTGGTCTGTTTTCTGTTCTTCAAGACTGGATGTGTTCTGAGGTCTGTAGGAGCCTCGACAAGACCGCTTTGTGACAACTTCCTGTTTCCTGCACTCCTCAGTTCCCCGCTTGGTTACAGCTGCTTGTCACTTTCCTTCTTCAGTCGGCTAAAATAGAAGAAATGAGTTTTAAACTTTTGATGACATCTTATTACAGCAAGTTTCTGCTGAAAATCGTACCTGTAGTAGTCCTCGTTGCCAGGCAACGGTCCTCCGTGCATGTGATGGTGTCCATGGAGCCACTGCTGTTCCATGGCCAGTCTCTGGAGCTCCGCTGACTGGGCGTGCATGGCCTGGAGCTGGTGGGCCGCTGACATCTGTGGTGGAAGACCTCCTGGTAGGTCCCGTGGGTACGGAGCACCTGGAAAATAAAAACAAATAATTAATAAAAGCTCAGCGTGAAAAGATTCAGATTAGGTGATCTTGTCTGAGAGCTTACCGAAGACTGGGTGGCGCAGCATCTCGTGTTCGTGCGGCGGCTGGCCCAGGAGGGGGTTGGGGATGGCGCCGGGCGGGTAGGGGAAGCGTGCCAGGTGAGGTCCTGCTGCCAGAGGGTCTACTGCCAGCGGGTGGGCCCCCGAACCTGGAGGACATACAAGGCATTCACCACCACCTTTTGGGTGTCAGAGTCTTTAGGATCAAGGTACACTCATACAGTTCATCACAAACAAAATACACAACTTCTGACTGTTTCACTCCTCTCTTGGTTCTGTGACAGATGACTTTAAACCATCAAGTTTCAGGTCAAATAGTAAAAAAAAAATTTAAAATCGTTTTTTTTTATTCACTTTTGAACGTGATGAGAGAAGTAAAACTATCTGAAGCATTCACAGAATATTTGATAAAATATAAATTAACTAGCTGTTAATTTATTTCTATATAATTACAACATTAACTGGTTAGTTTACATTTTTCTATTTTACACTTTCATTTTTATAATAAACATAGCAGATTAAATACCTATTTATGCTCATATTTTACTCATTTAACTTCCAATTAAAATAGTCTGTTCTTTGGTCAAAGATTCTCAGAACCACCGATTAAAGCACCAAGTTCATAGAGTTGGCAACACTTCTGGCTCCTTTGACTCTGGGCTTTTATATTTCCCCTCAGAGTCTTTGATACGGATAATTACAGCTTAGTAATCAGAAAAGAGCTCACATTAGAATTCAGCAACCATATTAAAACATCCAAGTACATTTACTTCATAAAACATTATCAAAAGTTCTTAAAAATATGCGTTTACATGATAAGTAACCAATTAGCTGTGGTAAGTCTACAGTGCTGACAAGTATGTTACAGTTTCTAGCTATAAAAGCTTTTATAAAACTAAACTTTCATTAATTAAACTGTTCCTTCAGTGTTACACATGAGCAGGGCTTTTGTTTACCTTGGTGCAGAGGATCTTGTTGGTGCAGGTGGAGGTGGGAGTGGATGTGTGAGTGCTGGTGGTGATGCGGGGTGACGTTGAACATCTGTAGACGTGCAATGGGGTCGTTGGCCACCGTGGCCATCCTTTCAGCGTGGAGTCTCTCTGCAGCCAACCTCTCTGGGTAGCTCATGTCGGGCCGCAGCTGAGGCCCTGGCAGGGCCAGCCTCTCACGCTCTAGCGGGTTCAGGCCCGGGTGAAAAGTGGCAAATGGGTGGGGACCGGCCATGGGGGGTAAAGTGAGGGCCCCGTGCCTGGCAAAGTGCTCCATGGGGTTTGTGGAAGGGTGGAGTGCGTCCATTTCTGGGGGTTTGACCTCAAAGCCGGGTTTCATCCTCTCCCTAAGCTCCCTTTCACGAATCTCCCGCTCTCGCATCTCCCGCTCTCGCAATTCACGCTCCCGCATGGCTGGGTCAGCGTTATACAGGCTGGGCATGTGATAGGCCAGCAGCGGGTCCGCGGGGTTGATGGTCATGTAGAAGGGGTGGCTTCGATTACTGGGCGACATGACGTGGGGTCTGGCATACTCGCTGAGGGTTCGGAGAGCAGGGGTGTCGGGCCCAATGTATGGAGGCACAGCTGCAATGGTGGTGGGAGGGCCATCGAAGGGCGGGCGCATGTGGGCGGGTCCGGCCATCTGAGGTTCGCCCATCCGGCTCTCATGAGAGGAACTGGAGGCTTTCTGTAAGAACAGAAAAGGAACGATTAACGAGATAAAACAAATCACACACCGAGATAAAAATGGAACACGTGGAGAACTCACCGCTGCTCGCTCAACCTCCTTCTCCCGCTCTCTGTCTCTTTCCCGCTCTTTTTCTCTTTCCCTTTCTCTTTCCTTCTCCTCCCTCGCTTTCTGTTCTGCTTCCCTCTTCGCCTTCTCCAGAGCCTCCTCTCGCTTTTTGGCCAGTTTGGACGAGGCCAGTGGAGTGAAGTAGAAATCTGTCCGAGCACAGGAGTTGTAACCCCGATCCAGGTGTTTGTAGAACCTGCAGGAAATCCATCAGACAAAAGTGAGCAGAGTTCTAGTTCAATGTTCCATTTAGATCAAACCCATCTTCAATGAGCTTCCAGGATACTCATTTCTGAAGGGCCACTGCTCTGCCTGTTTTAGAGGTTTTCCTGCACCGACACACCTGATTCACCTCGTCAGAAGCCTGTTAATCACCCATCGATTCAAACCAGGTGTGTTGGTGCAGACAAACATAAAAAACATGCAGGTAGCGGTGGTGCTACAGCCCTGCTCTAGTGTTATTCTATGCTGACTATGAATTAAAGTTCTCAGTCTGAGAGCCAGGTATCCTTAGTTCACTCACATCTCCCTACAATTAATCCCCCCATGCACCATCCCTCATAACCTAAAACAATGACCAGCTTCAGGCCAACTGTGGACGCTTGTTTTGCTGGTGACATCTAATTTTTTTTTATTAGGACGATAGCTTTCATCCCCTTTGATAAGTTTTGTTGGTGTTACCAGACGTACCGTGCTGACTGACTGGCATGGCTTGGCGTGTTAACGATGGTAGGCTCTGGGGAGGGGCTTCTCTGTGGAGGCGGTGGGCTTTCTGGCTCTTCCGTGTCGTCTAAAGGCTCTTCTTTGATGTGCACAGGTGGGACTGTGGGGCCCTGACTGGCGCAGGTGACCGAAGCAGGAAGTGGCATAGAGATGGAAGAAGACAATGCTGATGAAGACTGAGGCTGTAAACCGGGCATAGAGTTTGAAGACGGTGGGGGAGGGCCGCTTGGAGGTAGAACAGTACTGAAAGGAAGTGAGAAGGGCGGCTGTGGTGGCCCGCTGGGATGGGAGGCTGTTGTGGAGGGTGGAAGAGGAGGCGCTGGAGGAGGTTGGTGGCTGACTGAAGGCGGGAGGCTCTGGGACTGGGTGAGAACTGGAGGCTGGGCTGGTGGGGGTTGGAGCTGCTGCCCCTGAGGCATGAGCTGGAGGGGCGGTGGGTGTGTGGGTGGAGGATGATTGTTGGATAAGGAGCTGAGGGGCTTTAGGGCTGGAGGTGGAGGCAGATTTGAAGGCATCTGAGGAAATGGAGGTGCTGAAACATGAGGCGAATGTTTGTGAGATGGCGGGGTGGCCATCTGAGGTATGGGTGTAGTCGGTGGGGGTTTGATGTGAGGCAGGGACATTGGTGCAGGTGGCAGGGGCTGTTCTCTGGGAGGCTGGGAGGATGACGAAGGTGGTGTGTGAGCTCGCGGCTGTGACTGAGCAGCGATGGGAGGGGGTGGGACCTGAGAGGGACCCATAGGGAATCCCTGAGGGGTCATGGCGTGAGGGTGGGGCATGTGTGAGGGTCCAGGTTGTAGTGGATGTGGCATGGGGGGCATGGGTCCATGATGAGGGCCGGGTAAAGATGGAGGTAGGACTGAGGGGCCAGAGGGTGGAGCCTGAGTCATGGGCGAATGAGGAGAAGGTAGCCGCTGAGGGTGAAGCAGTGCCCCAGATTGGATCAGAGACATCGGACTGGCCTGGGTCAGAGGCTGAGGAGGTAGAGAGGCGGAGGCAGCAGCGGGGGAGATCTGTGGGGGCAGCGACGGGGCTGAGGTTGTAGGTGGAGCGGGTGTTGAAGAGGCAGCTGAGGTTCCTGGCTGACATTGGATGACAGGAGGATGCTGGCTCTGCAGGAGCTGCTGCTGCTGGGCAGAAGAGTCAGAGTCACTCTCGTTGTCCCGAGGGCTGGGGATGCTCGGGGAGGAGCTTCGGTTGTCCTGATCAATGTCCTTTGGATCACTACTGAGTTCCTCATTGATGCTTCGCCCATCAGAGCTCTCGCCCTCACCCTCTCCCTCACCTTCACATTCTGAAAGTGAGTCTGGTCGGCTCAGCTCCTGAGGAAATCAAGATGAGGTTCGTTACTCCTGATCACATAAAGAAACTCAGACTGGCTAAACAAAGACCAGGGACTCACCTGTGTCTTGGACTTTTTGGCATTGGCTCTTTCGGGCTCTTCTGTGTCTGACGCTCCCTTCTCTCTCTGCCGTTTGGCACTTTTCATCGGTGAAGGAGTCTCCTCTTTTATCTTCTGTTGAGTCAAATCAGCAGCGCCATCAGAGTCACCATCACACAGATTCAAGCGCACAGAAACCAGCTCCATGACGGCTCTACGTAATGTTTACCTTGCTGGGCTTCTTCATGGAGTCTGTCTTGCTGTCCGTGCTGTCGGTGCTCGCAGCGCTAGGCGAAGTCCGACCGCTGGAGCGCAAGTCCTCATTGGTAGGCGAGGCTCGGCCATCGGGACTGACTGTCTGTTTCTTACGACCACTACGTAGCGTTGACATCTTAATAAAAAAAGCACAGTCAAGAATATGTCAAGCTTTCGTAAAGTTTAGAGTTAAACTTTTGATAAAACATAAAAGACTAGGCTGCTCGTCTCTCGAAGGATAGCTGAAGAATTGTTTCCTAAAGGTGAAAATGGATAGGAGTGGAGCAGAAGCACTGGCGTACCGAGCCTCGGTTCCGTCGGGTCCTCATGCTATGCTTCCCACTGAGTCCATCCTCTTCCTCTTTGACAGGTTTGAACATAAATGGCGGCGGGTCTACAGGCTTCTCGATGGGGGGCAGCTCTCCGTACTTCTTGAAGTGAAGGCGACAGTCGGTGCACAGTAAGATGTTCTCCCGGCCCCCGTGGTGCCAGTCCTTGGAGGCTGAGGAAAGCCATTTGCAGTTGTGAAATAAGACACTCTCACAGGTGGTGAAAGATAAAAACAACACACCGAAACGAGCAGACAAACATGGAATGCATAAGATAAGGTCTCAGGGAAGAAATATAATTCCATGCAAGAATATAATATAATTAAATATTTTGAGTCTGAGCTGTGATCAATAATAAGTTATTTGCTACCCTTGTGATGGCAACCCATTATGATCAGCTGGGAGCCAGCTGTTTAAAGGGGGGAGGATTAGGTGGAGAGAGTGAATGAGCTGTGGCTCATGTCTAATTAATCCGGACGTTCTCTGATGCCCATCTGCTTCACAGCCCTGCGTTGGGCGGGACTACATGAGCATCAGCCTACTGAGTCCATATGATGCTTTTCTTACTGGTGCTGAAGCAGTGCCGGCAGGCGTAGCCCTTTAGCTCCTGTTCGCTGTCTTCACTATCAAAGTCATCTTCACTGGCAGAGCTGAGGTCCACTGAAAAAGCCACACAGAACAAGCCCTTCACATACAGCGCTTTAGCACCAGAGGTTAAAGGTCACGTCATGTGGGATACACGCACAAAACTCGCTGGAAGGAGGGCGTGAGGGTGTGTTCACAGGAGTTGAAGCAGTTCGTGTCTTGATACGGCGAAAAACGGGTTGGCGGCGGTGTCTACGGTGGGCTCGGCAGCTAGCTGCCTCAGGCGTCTTCTTCCAGTAGTAGTAGAAGGTAATTAACTCTCCCTGAAAGAAACATAACATGAAGAAAACATTAAAACCTTTAGATTGAGGATTTTATCGATATTTCATGTTATCGACCAAACGACGGCGACCAAATCGCAGGATTCAATGAGAGAAGATGGAATTATATTAGACAGAAAGGCCATGGAGCGGGTCAGTCCATGCCGGGATTTGGAGCCGGCTGGACATGTTTGAACTGCGTCCCTGTCTGTCCCCGGATTAGGCGAGCAGGCTGCGTGAATGCAGGGATATTAGGATCAGTGCATTGGTGGCTGCCTGGGTGGCAGGAGGTTGAATGGGAACAAAAGAACGTGTCAGGCAGAGCTTTGGCGCTACAAATAGGGAGTGAAATGGCTCCTCGCCCCTTTGCTAGAAGAGTCAATTGAACTTTAATCAAACATTCAGAGGGGTGCACTAGCCGGCGAGCCAGGCGGATAAATCCAGTGTACAAAAGGCCGTCAGGAAATCAATACCCAACTGAAACATTAACACATGCAATCACGGATCAGAAAGCACTTTGCTGAAGCAACCTGTGCATAATAACAGCTGCTTCCGGCTACGCTCCGAAGACACAACGCTTCAAAAACCGCTGACAGGACTCTAACGTGACCGTGTTGTTTTACCGTCAAGCTTGTACCCAGTTATTAGCCCTCCACTGGCCCCATAACAAATTCATAAAGTCATGTTGTACGGCTGTTTACCGAAGAGTAAGGCACCTGTAATCTTTAAAGCCCAGAGGGCAGCCGGCTACAGTCTGAGCGCTGTTAAACTGCTGTTCAACAAAGCTCCCGGGGTTTAATGACTATTGACTGTTTTCCTTCTCTGCTTCGGATGCTAAACTTAAATTAGTCAGTCCATTGCTCTCTAAAACACATTAACTGCCATTCAGCAACAGCGTCTATAAACTGAAACAAAAAACAACAGCGAGGAGGCCAATTTGATGAAATCAACATTCAGATGTTGCTGTAAAATGTTGGATTTTAGCAACGCGTCAGGTGAAACACTAATCTGCTGGAAACGGTTGGTATTTGTTTGTTAAAACGTAAAAAGGGAGCTATTCTTCAATCGCAGTTTAGTTTTCCTCAGTCACTGCTTTGATTGGCAGAAAATGCTAAACTCAGTGGGTTTTAGGCCATTTTAATAAACTCGCCCTTCATGTGGTTCTTAAGAAAAATTCATATCTGCAAAACTCGGCAGGACTCCATCTTATCGGGCGAAGCGGTGCTGGGAACATCGACTAACTGAGCTTAGAGAAATGTTCTCACATTTCAGGGTGAATTAAGGTGCGACTACAACAAAGAAACGTAACGTGAACCCTCACAGCCTGAGATGGTTACTTTTTTAGACATCTGAAGAAGCAGGATCGATTAAACAAGAATCACAAAAGCCTCCTAAAGGAGTTTTACTTTCTACTCGTAGAGGCCATATTTGGACTATTGGTAAAAATAAATAGCAGCTACTGAAAATGCTGTGTGATGTCTATGCATCTCTCAGAGCGGGTCTGGACTCCCTATTCAACCTGCTCGGCCAGTTGGAAAGGCGGGCTGCAGGTGCTAACTGAGGGAAGGCAGGCGTCCTGATGTGAAATCTAATTGAAATGTGCAGATCAAAAGTGTCGAGTGGAGCAGAGCTCGGTGCTTAATGACTGTTCTCAGCAGCGCGCTCTGCCTCCTCGCTGTGAGCGACAACGACACGGCCCCAGCAACAGCCTGCCAGACACAAGGAAAGGTCACCCCTGCCTCTCCATCACTTACACCGTGTCAAGTACTATTATATAA